CCTCTCGCGTTTCCGACCGCAATAACCGACAAGCTACGTACAAGCAACGGGAGTTAGGTTGTTTCAAATTTTTCAGAATTTCTGTATAATTTTATAACTTTCTCATATTTTTTATACGAATTGGAACACTTCTCAGAAAATCTTTTCTCAGAATTTTCTATATATGTTAATTATGAAATATCGTAAGATAATATTTCTAAGATTTTTTGTAAGTATAATTTCTGATGAAATGTTATAAAATCTAAAAAATATTTTTTAAAAATTATGAGATCAGAAATCTTAAAATATTTCACAATTCACATGTATGAAAAATTCTGAGAGAAAATGTGAACTTTCCAAAAATTTCTGAGTATTTCTGAAAAATGTTCCAAATAAATAAATTTATAAGAAAAATTTTCACCAGGGATGCCTATAATAGTAAATGTTACATAAGGTAAGTGCTCGATTTATAATGATTTTTAATGATAATTGGGCACAAACTTTTGCACTCACCTAATATTTGAATTTCATTAGATTATTGTATTTGACAGATTCATACATTCGTGCATTATGAACTGCAAAAAACGCAACTTTTTAAACGCAAAATACATCAATTAAAAATAATACATTGCATTATACGTACATTTATTGTGTTACATTGTATTATTATTGAATAGATTCCTTCCAAGAAGCTCGACAAATCGAAAAGAAATCAATACATATTTCATCGGATGCTGACACTGATACCATACGTGCTGCATTTGAAGAGCCATTGAAACGGTCGCAAAAAGTCCGAGAAGTCTCCTCTGACGACTCTGTTGTCTCCAATGACAGTTCCTGTAAATTAAGAAAGAAACTACTTTTTTATTATTTGATATATGTATTTGTAATTATATATTAATATATCAATTTCTATATTGCAGCTAATAAGTCAATAATTTCCCAACAACATAAAGATAAAAAATTTTTTACAACCCTCCATATAAAAACACTATTTAAAAATGTAATTAATTGCTTATAATGTAATAAATTAAAGTTGCTTCGCACGAGTTAATCTTACATTTTTATTTATGATACCATTTTCAACTTTATTTTATATTTTGTAGAAGATACATAAAAAAAATTTTTGCCGATATCCCTTCCAAAGTGTTTATATATATCGAAGGAACGATGCGGAGGTGAAACAACCAAAGCATCACAATCGTAATTAAGTAATAAGCGTCCATTCTCTCCAGACTGCCAACAGCTTTGTAAGTTTAGATGAAGCTAATTATTTCATAATATTTTCAAATCTTTCATGACTAATAATTATAATAATAAGCTCGGGAGGCAGCCATCAGTTGGGGCCCGCCAGCGACACGTAGACTAGATCCATTGTGTCTTCCTGGCCGTACTATCTCCAGATCAGATCAGATCTGTCTTCCTCCAAAAACGAAGGAAGTCCCTGACCTAGAGTTGACATACCTGCTCGGACTCGAGAAATACCGCGATGCCCAAAAGAAGCCGCCTTTGTCCTGCATACGCTGGGCAGTCACATAACACGTGGAGAGAGGTTTCTTCCTCGTGTTCGCACTTCCTGCACTTCGGGTTGTCACTGTGTCCCAGCTTATGTGGTAGTTAGTGAAGCCATGGTCCGTGTAGATCTGAACCGCCAGCCTGGCTTCCCCTCTCCTCAAGGCCCTAATGCTCCTGGCAAGGTCCCTGCTGGGCGTCTCTCCCAGCAGGGCTCTCACCTGCCTGCATTTGGTTCTTGTCTCTTCCTTCCAATAGTTGATATGACGGTCCCGTAACCAACCCTTTATTTTTGCCCTGCAGATGCAGCTGGGCAAACCTAGAGCCGGTTCCGGTCCCACCAGCCTGGCTGATGAGCCACTTTTTGCCAGCTCATCAGCAATCTCATTACCTTTGATTTCCGAGTGTCCCAGAACCCATACAAGAGCTACATCGTTACCCGGGGACAGTCTGTTCAGAGCACATTTGCACTCCCAGACCAGCCAGGAGTCAAAGACGCATGCCCCCAGCGCCCCCAGAGCCGCCCTGCTATCGGAGCATATCCTGATGCGTCTGCCCGTCTCACCTGATGTTGTTAGCGTTTGAGCACAGCCCATGATTGCTACCACCTCCGATTGGAATACAGTGGTGAACTCTCCAAGAGGGAGAGCCTCCCTGACTCCGCTATGGCATCCGTAGATCCCGGCATTGGCGCCCTCATCAGTCTTGGAGCCATCCGTGTACCAGACGTCCCCATTCCTAACAGCGGGCACCTCATGCCTCTCCCAGTCCTCGCGACTAGGAATATAGATCTTGTAAGCTCTGTCGAAGTCGCGCCTTATTGGCATTCTGTCCTGCCTCATGTCAAACACGGTTTCCATTTGAAGCTCCCGCGGTAACCGGATGTGAGTCACACCGCTCATCCATTTTCCCTCGCACTTTAACCTATACGCAGTGACCGCTGCTGCCGCCACTATCGCGAGAGGGAGTGGTTCTATGCCGAACACCACTCCCATTGTCGCCACTGGCGTTGTCCTCAATGCACCCAGAGCCCCCCTTAAGAAGAGAGCTGACGCGTTTCAGTAATGCGCGGGCCTCGGTTTGCTGTGTCCTTAGCCACCGCAGCGTAGAGCAATCTTGGTCGGAGCACCGCAGAGTATAGCCAAAACACTGTCTGGCTGCAATCCCCAAGTTTGCCCAAAGGTTCTTCTGCACATCCAGAAGTATGTGCAGGCTTTCTTACACACTGATTCCAGGTGCAGCTTCCAGTTCAATCTTTTATCCAGGACAATTCCCAGATACTTGACCGAGATTCCAGGAGTCAGTCTGACTCCCTTCAATACGGGCCCCTCCACGGGGTCTATTTTGTACTTGTGTGTAAAGATCTCCAGACTTGTCTTACTCGGGTTCACCGATAAACCTGTCCTCTCACACCATTCCTCCACCACCCCTAGAGCCCCTTGTGTGAGCTCCATGAGCGTTTCCAGGAAAGGGCCTCTTATCAGGTTCGCCAAGTCATCAGCGTACCCGATTGTCTTGAAGCCCTTGTCATTAAGCTCTTCCAGTAGCCTATCCGCTACTAGACATCACAAGAGTGGTGAGAGGACTCCCCCTTGGGGACAGCCTCTCCCTACCCATCCTTCGACACTCACCGTACCTAGCGATGTCGTCACTTCGCGTCTAAGCATTCCCCGGATCCATTTAACAAGTTTCACCGGTACTCCCCGTCTTGCCACCTCGGCACAAACCACTTCATGTGGAGTGTTGTTGAAGGCCCCCTCAATGTTCAGGAAGGTGCCTATCAAAAAGCCCCCTTCCTGGAGTTGTCGTTCAATACTGTAGACACCCGAGACAACCGAGGCCGTTATACTCGAGTGGCCAGCCCGGTAAGCGTGCTGCTTGGCATGCAGCGGATACCGAGCCAGCACGCAGTCCCTGATATATACATCAACCAGCTTTTCCAACGTTTTAAGAAGGAACGAGGTCAAGCTGATCGGTCTAAAGTTCTTAGCAGTGACATGGTTCGCCCGCCCCGCTATGGGAATAAAGACGATCCTCGCCCTTCTCCACGCTCGGGGGGTATAACCGAGAGCTAGACAGCCCCTCAACATCCTCGTGAGAGGCCTGATTATCTGCCCCAGCCCTCTCTGAAGGAGAGCCGGGAAAATAAGGTCAGGCCCCACCGACTTAAATGGTTGAAAGGAGCCAATCGCCCATCTAACTCTAGTTGACCTCACTATTTCTGCCGCTAACTTCCAATCGTTGGCACATGTCCTGAAGGAGCCCGCGCCAACTTCCTCGCACCTATCTACATCCCTCCGGAAACCAGGAAAGCTGGCCTCCAGAAGGTGCACCAGACGTCTTTCTCCGGATACCATGGTACCGTCTGACATTCGAACTGCCTCGAACGCAGCGTTCCAACGCTGGGTTCCTGGACAGAAATCTGCAAAGCCTAGCAGTGGCCGGTATTCCCTCCACCGACTCGCAGAAATCCCTCCAGCTCTTCTTCTTTGCTTCTACCACAGAGTCTCTATACTCCTTCTGAATCTTCCTGTAAAGATCCCAGTCGGAGGGCCGGCCCGTGTTCCTCGCCTTGTTCCAGGCTCTTCGAGCCTTGACCCTGAGGCTCTGCAGCCGTGGATTCCACCAGGGGATTCCCCTGTTGTTGATGACTGTCTTGGCCGGACAGTTCGCCTCATAGGAGCCAACCAGAGCCCTTTGCAGATGATCCATGCAGAGCTTCAGCTCCCCCGCCGTCCCATGCTTTCTGGGGAAATCATTGAGGTTCCTTTCCAGGTCCCTCTGATAGGAGTCCCAGTCTGTCCTCTTTGAGTTCCTTACCTTCTTGACTTCCACTTTAAGATTTGAAAGTCTGAAAGTTATTAGTCTGTGGTCGGAGAGCGATGGCTCATCCGACACCTTCCATTCCCTCACCTTCCGCACAGATCCATGTGAGCAGAGTGAGGTCTAATACCTCACTCCTCCCCGCCGCACAGAAGGTGGGTTCATTACCTTTATTCAGAACCTCCAAGTCAATCGTTACCAAATACTCCAGCAACTTCCTTCCCCTTTCGTTCGTGTCGGTACTTCTTCATATGGCATTAGCATCGCACCCCACCACCAATGGCAGTCCTTTCTGGCAGAGATCCACCATATTGACCAGCTCCATCGGCGGTGTCTCCTCTCCATGAGGGAAGTAGGCCGGGAAGTAGAGCAGATGACTAGCCTCCTGGTGCCTCAAGCACTGCCAGTTGTCGTCACCTCCATCGCCGTCAGGTCCCTAGAACATACCTCGGGCAAGAGACATGCATCCAGCCCCTTGACCGTTATGCATGCTCTTGGTCCCTGTTCGGTGGGAGCTTTAAAGAGCTTCCCACATGCTGCCCCCCCCCTGACACACCCACGGGCGACCCATAGTTCTTGTATCAAGGAAATGGCTGTGTGCCTCACAGACTGGCGCCTGGCTAGAATCGCCGAGGCCCCTTTGCTGTGATGCAGGTTACTCGATTACCGACCAGTCCATTGTTTGGTCTAGTCTTTAGATCGAAGCTCCTCCTTATCCCTCTTCCCACTATGAGATCGAGCCACCTTTACGGTGACTTGCTCGATCCCACAGCATAGCTTGGAGTCCCGCTCCTTTAACTTACGAGCGCTGGACTCCAAGATGCCGAAAACGTAGTTCCTTCTCTCAGGGGAAGCACCTACGTTTTCGGCAAAGACGCGCCAGTTCAGTGCGCCGATGTCTGAATTCTGTCTCTCCAGCAGCACCAGGACAGCAGCCGCGGCTCTCGGAGGACCCGGAACCCAGATCACCGCCCTGTGCCGCCTCTGAAGCTCGTCCAAGCCCACCACCCTGAGCCTGGCGCCTTCCCAAGGCACGCTACCCCCACCCAGCCTTCCAGCCAGCTAAGGGACGCTGCGTCCTCACCTCTAATTATGACTGTCCCGTTCTTGAGGGTAGCCGGTCCCACGAATCTGGGCAGGGGACCCTCTTGGATCCCCTCCATCTCCGCCAGGACCGCCCCCCGAAACAAGGTCAGCTCCGAAGTGATCCCTTTCTCAGGGTACCCTTCCAGAACAACCGCCCTTGCCAACGGGTCAGCCATAGTCGCGAAGATCCCAGTTGTCTGAGCTCTAGGCCTCTTCACCGTCCTCTTAACCGATGGGGAGGTTTGGTCAGAACCCACGCGGCGCTTTTTACCGGTGAGCCCTGTATCCCCCTTAATCGGTTTTGTAAGGGCCACCGAGGGACACGGAGCTTGCCCTTCGAGAATCTTCTCCCTGTCCCTCTTCGCCCTTCTCTTCTGGGCTCCGCTGCGGTTCCTCTTGTGAGGAGCCCCTGCATCATCCGCCTTGCTCCCATTTCTTTCCGAGCCCGAGGGGACCCGTTCCGAAACGGGAGCCATCTCCACTTCCGCAGCTACCTAGCCCTCACGAGCCCGTACTTGCGGCGCAGTTGCTGCCGCCTCCGCCGAGTGCCCTTTCGAGCCCTCGGTTATCTCGTCTTGAATGTTATTAATATTCTCCATACAAGTCCCACGAGTAGCTAGGGAACGACAAGGTCCGCCCACGCAGAGCCCCGCATGCGTGGGTAAGGCTAAATACTCTGGGGTTTCGCCCGGTACCCCAGAGGCATCGACCACTGCACTGCTCCCCCAGTACTACACAGCCCTCACCTCGATAGCTCACAGCTTGGCTTGGGGGGCTGGTCCACGGCGACGGCCTTCCCGGCCACATGCAGGGTTTTACACCTGGGGGGTCCGTTTATAACCACCACTACTCGGAGGGACCTCCAGTCACACGCGAGGTTTTACACCCGGGAGACCGGGCACTGCTCTGGCATGTCCTATCCGCCACTCGGAGACGCGCCCGATGGGTAGCCCAATCCGACGGGCTTTCATGACTAATTGTGTATACTTTTGTTTGTTATGCAGTAAACTCTACTTCGAAACAGATTAACGATTCGAAAAGTATGAAAAATAATTATCTCATATCATTAACACTGCCATATATGCATCTCCTATTTGTAACTTTATTTAAATTTCTGTAGAAAGGCAACAAAAGTCTACGATAAAAATTCCCGGCATCTCATCTATCAGCCCTGGGAAGGTCAAACCAATGGATCGTCATCAGGAGCGACACGATGATCACCCTTCTGATATGCAAGGTTGGTTAAGTCCTGTGTCCACAATCCCACAGCTTATATCAATATATGTACACAGTATCAAAAATTTACTAAGAAAAAAATGAATCTATTACTTATATGCCAATCTTGCGTTTCGCGGGTTTTCTCCGTGTCCAGATCCATTCTTGGAATGCCTATTACCTATACCTATACCTATACCTATACCTATACCTTTAAAATTTACAATTACAATAAGGTATAATAAATCAACCTAACTAAGACTCCTTATAAATCAAAAAACAATGAAAGAACAAGGGCAGTAGGAGTCAAGCGCGGGAGATGTTGCGCAAATAACACGACTATCGTAGCGTGAAACTTCTTTATTTTACTAAAGCGCTTACATGTTTCGGCTCATTTTTGAGCCTTCTTCAGAGATAACTAATAAATTCACATACATAGAATATAACAATTATTAACTAGTCATGGTGATCTTCCTCACCTCGAGAGTATAAATACCAGAATTAAATCCAGATAAGAATGCAGTAAAAAAGAAAAAAGGGGGAAAGAAATTTTGAAATTCTCGAAATAAAGAAAATGTAAAACTAATGTATCAAAAAATTTTGAAATTATAATTAATTATTCCGATGGTTAGGAAGCTCACCTTGATCACAAGATACCGCATCGCAAACATTACTCTTAATACTTCAAAAACCGGTTTTTACAATTACAATCTGTGTACTGCTGTTTCTGTGATACTGCTAAATAGAAAGAGAAATAAATTACAATAAGGACTTTCAATAGCATTTCCAAATGCTTATATTAAAACTTGATGTTAGAAGTTTGTCCAAGTTTATACTTACTAGATTTTTTATGCATTTGAAGAAGCTGAGACAAATCCTTCTCTTAAGGGATGTTTCTCTTTTGAAAACACAAATTAGACCATAAATTGAGTGTGCTCGAGGTTCATTGGATAAGTCTGTTCTAAATGAACTAATGAGCGGTGAGCACACATGTATGTTGATTTATGCTTTCAAAAGAAAAACCAATGAAACCATATTAACTTCTATGACTTTAAGATTCGGTTTCACAACATACTAATTTATTAATAATAAACATTTTGTTCTATAATACTAGAAAAGGAAAAGACTACTATTTACACGTTAAGCTATAAAATAATATAAACAATAATAAACATTATTATATAATAAAGAACATTAAAAGCCATACACTGTCTTTATTGCAAAATATCTCGATTCGAATTTGTTAACAATTGGTTTCACAGACGTTTCGACCATCATCCGATTATCATCAGTAAAGTGAAACATAAATTGATTTAAAATAATAGTTAATAACAATTTTTTAACATTGAAATATATTGAAAGAATTACAATCGCATGGATGCATATATAAACTTTTTTTTATTCTTCCTTACAATGATTTGTTTGACCATTCAAGGTTTACAACGTTTAAATTTGTTACGAATGGCATCGTTCTATCTTCATTTATCCCGAATATGATCGTCTTAATGCACAGGAATTCTGATTAACAGCACAATTGGGTTGAATCTTTCTAATATGTAGCACACATATTAATAAAATATTTGATTTTCAGACTTACCTAATTCACTACGATGTTATAGAAAATGAACCCTCAACGAGGAATCATAATAATTGCTGTGGTAAGTAAATAATTTCTTACAGAGGAACATTACTGATTTGTTAATAGTTCGTCTCTTTAATGTCTCTTTCTTAATATTATATTTTTATGTTATATTTACGTAGGCTACTGTTCAGTTACGAACATTAAGAAGGAATTCGGCCGGCGAGATGCAAGCTGATGATATAGAAAAAATGACGGCAAATAATCTGTAATATTTATTGAGATAATCAAAAATTTCTATAATATATAAATGACGTTTAGTGTAAATAGAACCAGGCGGACAGAATTCTCAATGTCGTGGTTTCCTTTCTTCATTGCCGATAGTTTCACGATATTAAGCATCCTCTCGTTCGGTCACAACGATCTATCTGTAAGCAAATCACAAGAACAAGAGGGGAGGGGTTGTAAGTCCCGATTCCTCGTATATAAATTCTGGTAACAGTAGAAAGTTCGGGCCGCTGCTTGAGCCGCATCTCAAGCCCCGCTTATATTTGACATCACGGGCCGCTGCCTGAGCCGCATCTCAGGCCCCGTTTATCCGTGCGAGGAGCACGGCCTGCTACATTATTAAAAGTTCAAGTTGGGTGCATTGCGCATGTAAGCACTGCCTGAGCCGCTCGTCAGACATCGTAGTAATGGCGCCTGCTAAGCACCGCCTGAGAACCTTCGTCAGGCATGAAATGAGCAAGGCATCACGTTTGATGCTTGCTAGAACGCTTTGAGCGTTCTAAGGTAATCTGAGCCAATTCATCAGATTCGCACAGGCGGGAGCAACCCGCCGCCCGAGATTTAACGTCGGGCACAAGAGAGAAAAGAAAACGGGGTTCACATTTAAGAAGGATGCGTCAAGCGACATCCCGACTCAGTGTAACATAATTATACTGGAAGGCCTTAATACTGGAAGGCCGCGTCCTTCCATACTTACGATGTTTTTATTGCCCTCGATAGAATTCTGCGATACTGCTGAATCTCCCCGATTCGATCACGATGCTACCGTGCACAGGCCAACACCACAACCCTCTGGAATTGACTCTTTTTGCAGTGAAAACCTTTCACTCACAACAATAACGGAGACAAAAACGTTGAGAGGAAGGCGCTCTGTGTAAGCGGCGGTCACGCAAGCTGCGCCCTCGCGTGACGCTACACACTCAGCCTTAGATAATTACGAGACAGTTTTGGATGCGAGATTAACCAGGCTATATTTGATTACTGCACAGTTAGTAAACCAGTTAACCAGTTTTACGTGATCAGAGGAAGTTTGATTTATTATAGCTATATAAATTCATAAGATCTATCTTTACGTTACATAAACAAAACGAGTAATTACTGAACAGCTGCTGAAAAAGTTTCTGCAAACAATATGAAAAAAACATATAAAATTCAGTAAATGGCTTTATTGTTTTTCGAAATATTCGCCTTTAAGATCGATACATGTTTGCATATGCTCGAACCAATTTTCGAAGCACTTTTTCCACTCTTAGGCTGTAATCTCAGAAATCAGTGTACGAAATGTTTCAACAGCTGCTTCAGGCGACTCAAATCGCTCACCACACATCTTTTTTTTAATGTTTGGAGACAAAAAGAAGTCATTAAGTGATAAATCAGGTGAATACGGACAATGAGTCATCAATTCGACATTTTTACTGGATAAAAAATCAACGATTTGACGTGTTGTGATAGGCATTGTCATGATGAAGAATGATGCGACGAGTTCGGTTTGTTCTACGCAATTCATTTATGACTTCTGGCAAACAAATTGTTGTATACCAATCGGTATTTACAGTCCTTCGATCCTCTAAAGCCACGGTTGCCACATGTCCGGTATAACCGAAGAAACAAGCAATCATTTACTTGGCAGCACTGCGTGAACGAACAACTTTTGTTGGTTTCGGTTCATTTTGAAATACCCAAACAATGGATTGTTGTTTACTCTCGGGCTCATACGAATAGATCCATGTTTCGTCCCCAGTAATGATGTTGTAGATCAAATTTGACCGACCTCGGTTGAATTTCTTGAGCATTTCTTTGCTCCATTTAACACGAGCCTGTTTTTGAGCTTCTGTCAAATTGTATGGGGTCCAACGACTGCAAAGTTTCCGTACGCTCAAATGATCATGCAAAATCGTATGTGTTGCTTTCATGTCAATGCCTAAAAATGCCTGAATCTCGTGGTACATCATATGCCGATCTCACTCAATCATTTCACGCACAGCATCAACATTACCCTCGTAAAAAAGTACTATTAGTGTCACTACTAGTGCAATAATGCAGTAGTAAATTCGTAATAGTGACACTACTAGTGTCACTAGTTATGCTGTAGTGTTACTAGTAGTGTAGGAGCAGTGCATAGAGTAGGGGTGCGTTCCATTGCACTCATAATGCGCATGACGTATCATTTTATCATTTTTATCCTTGTTTTCGAATATTAAAGGATAAAATTGTCATCGAATATTAAAGGATAAAATGATACATCATGCACATGATGCGTGCAACGAAAATACATGCGCAAAACGATTATCTTTGTAGAAATAGAAATTTTATGATCAAAGATCTCGACACTTTTCTTTAATCATAGTCGATATTCAGTTAGTTTTACTTAACGTCGAAGAGCTATATAAATATGAAAAATTCAACGAATTACTTGTTTTATATCAAATTGTCTACATTTAAAAAAATTATGTATTGAAAATTGTATGTAATAAAAGTTTGTGTTAAAAAAAAAGTTTTTTTAATAGTGAAGAGAAAAATGCTTCCAAATATTTCAATAATAAATATTAGATAACTATTTTATAAGTGGTATTTAGTCAAATAAAATTTCAAATTAATGATGAATGTAACATAATACACGTTCAATTAACGTCAAGTAAATTACATTTTAAATGTTAACGAAACTGTAAACAAATATTAAATACATTTTGTTTTAATATAAAATAAACCTTTTTCGTAAAAAGTAGCAGCTTATAGTAACAAATAAATATTTAAGAAATATTTTTAAAAGCATTGTTTAGTTTAATTTACGTACATAAATACAAAAATATACACAAATTATACACACAAATAATTGAATAAAATCATTTCCGCAAGTGCGACAATAGTGCACTAGTAATGTCACTACTCATCCCGCAGCAGCACTATTGACTGCATTACTGTACTAGTAGTGACACTGCTTGTTCTAGAAGTGCTCACTTCTACACTACTGCACACTGCACTACTGTACTAGTAGTGTCACTGCTCATCTCAGTAGTGATACTACTAGTGCCACTAACGCAAATTTAATCCCTCGTAAAAAAGTACTACTAGTGTCACTGCTAGTGGTGTAGTGTCACTACTGTATATACAGTAGTGTCACTGTTGATACGAGTAGTAACACTGCTCGTGACTAGTAGTATAGAAGTGCAGTATTAAATTTGCGTTAGTGGCACTAGTAGTATCACTACTGAGATGAGCAGTGACACTACTAGTACAGTAGTGCAGTGTGCAGTAGTGTAGAAGTGAGCACTTCTAGAACAAGCAGTGTCACTACTAGTACAGTAATGCAGTCAATAGTGCTGCTGCGGGATGAGTAGTGACATTACTAGTGCACTATTGTCGCACTTGCGGAAATGATTTTATTCAATTATTTGTGTGTATAATTTGTGTATATTTTTGTATTTATGTACGTAAATTAAACTAAACAATGCTTTTAAAAATATTTCTTAAATATTTATTTGTTACTATAAGCTGCTACTTTTTACGAAAAAGGTTTATTTTATATTAAAACAAAATGTATTTAATATTTGTTTACAGTTTCGTTAACATTTAAAATGTAATTTACTTGACGTTAATTGAACGTGTATTATGTTACATTCATCATTAATTTGAAATTTTATTTGACTAAATACCACTTATAAAATAGTTATCTAATATTTATTATTGAAATATTTGGAAGCATTTTTCTCTTCACTATTAAAAAAACTTTTTTTTTAACACAAACTTTTATTACATACAATTTTCAATACATAATTTTTTTAAATGTAGACAATTTGATATAAAACAAGTAATTCGTTGAATTTTTCATATTTATATAGCTCTTCGACGTTAAGTAAAACTAACTGAATATCGACTATGATTAAAGAAAAGTGTCGAGATCTTTGATCATAAAATTTCTATTTCTATAAAGATAATCGTTTTGCGCATGTATTTTCGTTGCACGCATCATGTGCATGATGTATCATTTTATCCTTTAATATTCGATGACAATTTTATCCTTTAATATTCGAAAACAAGGATAAAAATGATAAAATGATACGTCATGCGCATTATGAGTGCAATGGAACGCAGCCCTACTCTATGCACTGCTCCTACACTACTAGTAACACTACAGCATAACTAGTGACACTAGTAGTGTCACTATTACGAATTTACTACTGCATTATTGCACTAGTAGTGACACTAATAGTACTTTTTTACGAGGGAACCAATTATAAACAGTCCTATTGGATGGTGCTTCATCTCCAAAAACCAAATGAAGTCGATCGATGCATTGTTTCGGAGTTAGATTACATTTGTAATCGTAAAAAATCATTGCCCGAAAATTTTCACGCGAAATTTCCATTTTTTCACAAAATAACTTCTTTTAAAATACTATGCAAACAAAACTAGTTGGCTTGAGTACAAACTGTCAACTGAATTGTAGGTTAAAAACGTCTAATTTTACGGATATGATAGTAGCAGAACGTTGGCGTCACTGGAAGTACTAGATTGCAGAAACTTCTCCAGCAGTCTACGTATATTATATTTTTAAACAAAAATATGTGCAATTCAAAAAACTTATAATACATAAAAATTATTTTAACTAAACGCACACATCACAAACTTACTCTCCTGTGTTCCTATAATAACAAATAATAAAAAACAATAACAAATGCTGGTAATGATTATTGTGATAACAGACAGATTTGACTTTATTAAAATATTAACAGTTACTAATTCAGTTTTTATGTTACAATTTCTTTATATCATTACAGGCGAATGCAGAGACTACATCCGTAAGGAACTAAAAAGATTGTTCAGACAAATGTACGCTATTGAAGCTCTATTAAAAGACGGGAATGCAGGACGAAGCGATGAGGTTGTAGCACAAGATCTGTTACCTCCATTGTCTCTAATGACACTTAAACAGTTTTTGCAATGAGAAAATCAGTTGGAAGTGAATACCAACATGAAAAAACAATTTGTAAATATATTCATATTGTCATATTTATTAAATATTGCTTTAAATGCTTGTATTGCCCGTTAGGAAAATTGTGTTTTCTCAGAAATTTACTCGCCATTTTATAACTTTTGAATTTCGTCGTATTTAATTTCTCGTATATCATCAAGGATTTTTTTATTCATATGTACTAAATTTGGTAATTTTATATTGAGCATTATTGAAAAGGATTTGATATAATATTAAAGTATGATATGACATAATACAAATAGAGATTAAGTGGCAAAATTGCATAAAAAGATGTATGATGGTCGGTACTAAATTAACCATCGACTGAACATGTTTTCAAACACGTGTATTTCATTTTCGTTATTGTATGTACACACGTTTCTTCCATTCATAATATTCCATTTGTGTATTTTTTGTAACTATATTACAGGAACACATGATATGTCGAATCGGAGGTTCGACGGGTAAGCAGTTTATCTGGAGACACGGTAGTGTCTC